CACAATTAAAATATCAAAAATTTAATTAAAAAATTCTAATTTTCAAACTCCCTTATGAAGTTTGAAAATTAGGAATTAAAAATTAAAAATTAGGTATGTACCTCGAACTTTTACTTTTTATGTCTGTATTTATATTTTGATAAAATACTAATCAAAGTTATTCTTGGAATGAAAATCCCATAAATTTCTCGTAAATAAATTTCTCTTGGCTCAATAGCATTCGTGTTGAGTGCTATTGGAGTTTTTCAAATGCATTTAGGCTAAAATTATGTGTAATAAAAGTTTTTTTAGATTGGACAAAATTTATTGATAAGATAAACAAAACTAAGCTTCCACCTATGCTGATGCCTTATCTATATTAACGCGTTAAATGCCTATTCTATGAAAATAAAGCTATAAAATTAATGATCTGAGTTAAATGAAGATTAAACATAATTAATAATATGAAATGGAATGGTCATTAAACAGCTTGCATTAGATATCATTAAGCTGCATGAAGAAAACATAAACAAAATAATTTAAAAGTGCAGTGATACATTAAAGTTTTCCTTCAACAAAATTGTTCATTAGAAAACGTTTAATTTAAAAAAATGTACATTTAAAGTAAAAAAATCATCAAATTATTCCAACAAAATAGGACGCTATCGTTGTCGAACATCACAAATTCGTTACATTTTACAATAATAATTAACTTATTGAGCTCATTTTATATTACACACTCATTTTATATTACAAACACTTACAAAACTGATAAAAGATCTAGTCTCGAACTCAAACCAAAGTGAAATAAAAATTTCTTATTTGCTCGTTAAATATTTTCCTTCCGAATACTAATAATTTTTATGTTAAAAACTAATTTTAGTTATAAATTTTTTATTTAAGGTATGTATAATAAAATTAGGAGTTTTTATGGTAAACGATGCCGACACAATTTTTATTTTGTATGTTTTTTACCTGTTAACATGACAATTATCACAATCTTATATGAAAATTCCTTTTGAACCAAGAAAATTTCTCTGATTTAATTTACATACCTGAAGCATTTTTGATTTCGGAAAATTACAATTATCGCCTAAATATTAGGAATTGTATTAATGTTATCTCAAATCTGTAGCGTTTTTCAGCTCATCCAGTATTTCTAACTTATATAATTGGGTTTAAGGCCCAAATTTAGTTTACATAAATTTTTTTTAAGAACTTACATATTTCCTTTTTAATAGAGGCTTTACATAGTATGTAAATAAATCTGTACAACTAAATTTAAAAATAAGCATCGTAGCTTCTTAGCTAAATTCTGTTACAAACTAATATAATATTTACTCTAAATACATAAGTAAAACAAATGGACAAAAAAAAATTATAATCTACAGTTTTGAAATAAAATTTGACTAACGACAATAACAATTTGTTAAAAATATTACTTTTGAACTATTTTACGAACAAAAAATTATTGAAATTTTAAAAGTATAACATACAAATTTTTTCAATTTAAAGTAATATTTCTCACTAGGTCCGCTATTCATTGAAATAATAGTTTTCTTCTTCCCCCATAAAATATATTGAACATTATGATTTAACAAACCTTTATAGTTAGTTCTAAATTCAAAATCTCTTCGTATATTAGCGTAAAGTAATCAAGAAACATCTTAATTTTAGCAATTATTTCCACAGATTTAGAATTCCTTTCTCAAGACTCAGTTATTTCAATATCACAGGTATGAAAAATTTAATGAAATTTTTCTGCCGTTCTGCCTTATCCTGGACTATGCCAACATTAAGATACACTAAATTATGATTAATTTTATACAAAATTTCAAAAAAAAAACCTTACACATTTCAGTGCTGACTGAGCAACTACCACAGTATTGTTCAAACTCGAACATAGTCTACACTTCATTCATATATTGCAGGAACAATCGGTACTTATACCAAAAATAATATATCTTAAACAAAATGGTGAATTCTATGACTTTTTAATGATTTGATTTGCTTAGGAAACACGAAACTTGATGTACTAATGTCATTTCTCCAAAATAAATATGTTGATGTTAAAATAAGTTTGCTTTTAAATCCCATTCTTAACTAAAGTGCTTAAACCAACTTAACACAATAACCTATTATAATATTTATATCTCAAACTAATATTCTATACGCTATAGAATATACGTTTAGACTACTGAAGTTGACCTTATGGCAAGGAATACACCTTTCCCATTGAAACTTATTTAAAAGCATAACGAACTTAAATTCAAAAACATAAGATTCATGAATAATAAGTATTACATGCTCATCATTGAGGTCAAACATAAATATTACAAATAAACAAACTGCAATTTTTAGTTTATCAAAAATTTTAAAATTTATTTAAAACAATTTTATGTATTAATTTATTATTTGTTTTATTAACTTTTTTTTGTGTTTTTAATTAATATTAGTATTATTAATAAAAACTTAAGATTATTAATTTTTATTTATTTCTTGTGTTCTCTTGTTTTAATTATAAATTCTTAAATATAAAAAAATTTATTATTTGGTTAAAAAAAAATTGCAATTTTTTATTTATTTAATACATTAAATTTACTTTTTCAGCTAAAAATTAGCTATTAATTACAAATTTACATATTCCATGTATTTTATATATTTATATATTATTATAGTGTTATAAAAAATTGGACGGTTAGGCATTAAAAAACGTCTTTTTTTAATATATCAAAAATTCTAAAAATTTTAAAATTGTTATTTTATATACAATATACAAATATGTTTGCTTGTATATATTATGGTATATAATTATTTGATAAGCTACGCACAAAATAGTGAATAAATTAGATTTTTCATTTGATAATCTTACAAAAATTTAAATGTTTACCATTTTTTTTTATTTTTTTCAATAGATAATTAATTTTATCTAAATGATTTTTAGTAATAATTAATTATTAATATCTTTAGACATATTTTTAACTTGAATGTAATATTTTAAGCCAATTTTTATATTACAATTTTCTTATTATAGTTATTCATCATTTATTAGTTTTTATAACATGCTTCTAAGAATAATGAGATTATAGCAAAAGAAAACAAGATTTTGTAAATAACAGTATAAAGCGTACTAACAAAAAAAAGTAGCTGCATGAAAACTAGTCAATAGCTAAATAATTTTTAAATACAAATAAGCAAATTCTGCATTTTCATTCATGTATTTCCATAACTAATTGTTAATAATACTTCTAACTAGGAGTAAAATCACTTTAATTGTAAAGTTTTGTCAAGTATATTGAAATCAGATTTACGTCTTTAAAATATTTAAAAAATAATAATAAAATAATTTAATAAAAACTAAGAATAATCTTATAGGTTGTTTCAATAACAATCAAAACCAAAGAATGAAAACAATTTTATAAAATGAAAATGCTTAAAAGAGCTGTTTTTGACAACACAATAGTTAAGACTGAAAGAACTTCAATAAAATGTGTTACTATTATATATTTAAGCTCTTGAAATTAAGTTTTATATGGAGGGTTATGTTATGATATAATTGCACTATGGCGCGGCTCTCTTGAAAATAACTGCATGATGAAGTAAAACGCGAAAAGAAGTACGTGAAATGGGGTATTTCTGAAAATGCAGTTTTTAGGATTAGAACTGCAAAGCTTTAAAAACTTCACATTTAATTTGTACATAAAACTTGTGAAATGTCCATAAGAACTTAATTTTCAAAATCATCGCATAGATTCAAAACCAGTGGGTGTGCAACATCACACTTTTTTAAATACTTAGAATATTAAACTTTTTCAAACTACGGCTCAAAATTTTACATCTTTTCAGAACAACAAAAAATTTTCATACAGTTCACAATATGCCAACATTTTTCATTTAATCGTAATTTTTCATATCCGAAAAATATTAAAATGCAAGTGTTCGTATAACAAATAATATAATTCGTATTCTTAAAACCATATTTATATAGCTTATGTTATTTGCTCTTTTCAAATTTTTAAGGAGCAAAAACTTTCTACCTAAACTTAACTAAGTTTATTAAGTTCTCTAAGTTAAGTTCTCTGAAATTTGCACAAGTGCTTGCTACCTAATATATTAATAGACAATTATATGCATATGTACACGAACTTGTTTATCCTTACAAAATTATTCTCTAAAATATTCACTTCATGTTTCCTTATTTGATTATAGAAACAGTACATACATTATGCAGTTACAAAATATTACTACCAAAAAAAAAATTACTAAATAAAGTAATTTTCATATGAATCACATATGATCATTTATTACCTTTATTTGATCCGTTAAAATAAAAATAAAGTTCCTTTATTAATATTACTACAATTACTCACTTTATTGAACTAATTTGAATTAAATTTTTTTAAAATTCCTTTTGAATTCCAGATTTAATTTAATTATCAAAATAAATTGAAATCATCTTATTATATATAAAAAAAGAATTTCTTTTACTTTTATTAGTCAATTTTAATTTATTTTACTTAAATCAGAAAGAATATTCCAAAGAAATTTTTTTAAAAAAATTTAAAGGCAGTTCTTTTTTGTACAAAATAAATTCATTAGAAAAACGAGTACAAATCAAAAATAGGTTATCATAAAATTGCTAACTAAGATTAAGTCATATCAATCGAATAAGTCACTATTTTTAATTGAAATTATGTATTAATTATAAATGTTAATTTTTTAAAATTTATCAAAATTTAAGCTCAATTTAAAACATTCCTACGTAAAATTATTTAAAAAATATCATTAATATACTTCCTGTATCTTTCTAACTAAAAGATTATCTTTCATTTTTTATAACTTTAAAAAAATCACAAAAATATTCAGTTTTTTCAAATTTATAAATCTTTTTTTAGTATAAGTAATTTTAAAGAAGTTTGCAAATACAACTTTAATACAAAACGATATTAAAATTTCAGTATGATATTTAATATGACAACATTTTCATTCATAATATTTAGTAATTAAGTACATAAGTCGAATCTTCACTCATAATAAATTAAGTATTTAAAAATATATTCTAGTTATGCAAAAATATTTTCAATTAAATTTAATGCACTATTTTTCTTATAATGTAAAAAGTAATCTGCTTAACAAAATTCTTATAATAAATCAATTTTTGATTGTTATATTTGTAAAACGCCTCTGAAAAAACTGAAACACAACTCGGTTAACTAAAACTAACATTAATTTTTCAAGCAAATAAATTCTAATAAATAAGTTTGTGGTGTTATACGTAACCAAAATGAAAAATACGTTGATGAAAATTATCTAGTTATTAAAATTTTAATTAAATCAAAGAATAATTTAATCCATTTTAATTGTTAGTATAAAATTTAGATTCTATGTTTTTATCTTAGACTTTTGCGTACATAAAAAAAAAGTATCATAATTAAATATCAAAATAAATTACTCATGTTCACACAAAAATTATTCAATATTAAACAGCGAATAAATAATGGTGACTAGACTGATGAAAAATTAGCATAAGTACTGAAAAACCGAAATATAACTACCAAAAATAACCTGAAATTTAAGCTAGATATTTATACAAAAAGCATTACTTTTAAAAAAAATTGATAATAAAAAATGGAAACAAAAATATTGTAAAAATAGAAAATTTTTATTTCCTGACCTAAAACGTTTCCTCAAAAGTGTTATTTTGTGAAATGTAAGATTACTCTTAAAATATAAATACATTTGTTTTATTATTATGATCAATTTTCTATTATACATCAGTGTAATAACTAAATTCTTTTTATAGAATTAGAAAATGTGTTGTAGGCATCATTCTTGTTCTAGTATTAATGTATGCGAAGGAAAGATTTTTAAATAAAAGCATCAAATACTTCTTAACCCAATATTATTTAAATACATATGAAATTTATGATACCAATGTTCCCTGAAAACTTATGGTATTAATTGATATTTTTGTTCAACTAAAATATTCAACTTAATATATTTTAAAATCTTACAAACGAAGTAACAATCAAGAACTAACTCCATATTAACAGTGCGTTTTCCTCAAAAAAATCAAGCAAGCTTTATATTTTAATAGATGGTTAAAAATTATCTTTTAAAATCATTTGATTAATTAATCGTTTTTAATTATCACTCATTTTAAACTTACTATCAAACAAAATATGTAGTTGAATTATCTATCAATATAAAACGGGATTTGTGTCAAAACGTTATTAAGTTCTGTAATGATGCTAATGACGATGTAGAATTTTCTGTATCAGTGGGTAAGCTTCTTATTCTCAATAACCATTCTTGACATTCAATACATTTACGTTGTCGCTCTTCTCGAGTTACGTCTACACCCAAACTATTTGCCAAAGACCATGGATCACAATTTTCTTGAATTATTGGCAAGAAATTTTTTAATATAACACGTAATGTATCACAAGCTCTAGTATGATGACTTAAATGTAAAACAAAAAAAAACGGCATATTAAAATTTCTTATTGTTGTGCATGAACATTAAAAATATTCTTACAATTTATGTTGACTTTGAAGTAGCTCATATATTTCGGGAAGCAAAAGAAGGCAGAGATCTAAACTCCAACTTGATCTGAAATAATGTAATAATGAAGTTAAAAATGATTAGAATTTTAATGTTCTAAATTTTCTAATGCGACAAAGATTTTTCTTACGTTTTTTCTAAAATAGCTCCTAATAAATCTACAAATACGGTTCGGCCAGTTTTTATTGCTTGTTTTAAGGCTCCCACAACATCTTGCGACCTAAAACTTAAATTTTAGTGAAATATTTTTCAAAAAAATCAAAATGAATTCACCTGGTTGAATTTCTTATCAATTCCAAAGTTGCATGCCTATTACTTAATTCTTGAAATACATGGTTATGGTATGCACTTAACATTTGCACATCTGCACTGTCATCGGCAGAATACACAAGAGTTTTCTGCATACAAAAAAAATCATATATTGCTGTAAAAAACACAAAACAGTTTTTTTTATATTTATTACCTGAGTGGGTGGTACAGCTGCTGTGGCCGATCTACTTCTTAAGTCAATCGAGGTCTTTGATCGCATAGGTGGAGGTTGTTTTTTATTAAAAATTTGAACAGTAAATTCTTTCGATGGTTTCGAGTCTTTGCCAACTGCTTGCTGCCTCTGATGAAAACTATTTTCACTATTAGCCGACGTATCTCTTCTGGTACCTCGTGCTGATATAGACATTTGTGTGGTAGATCTTTTTGTCATAGACATGTTTTCATCCATTTTATGTAAATCCATTGAACTTACAGAATGCATGTATGACACCCTATTTGGACCACCTCCAAAGAATGTTCCACCTGAATAGCGATCAGGAATTTTAACTGGTATCGCAAGCTGGGTGTTTTTGCGTTGACCAGTTAACGATATTGTTGACCTTGACTTACTTATCGATTTATTGCTTGTACTTAATTTATTTGAAGTTTGCAAATTTGATTGATAGGTATCTGCTCTTGGAGCATAATCTGGCATTTTTGCATTATTCACAGGAAAATCCTCCGATTCAGCTGCCTCGTAATTTGATATGATAGGTGGATTACTATCGTTAAAACTATCATTTGTTAAGGAACCAATATCATTATCAAAATTACTACAATATGTATCAAAACTACTATATTTATCAAATTTGTTAATATCACTTGTAAGAGGAGATACAGCTTTAAATTGATTAAAGTTCCTAGAAGGAATTCCTGTATTTGTATCCGCATTTATATGCCGAGAAGGCGGATCCTCAATGTCTATTATTTCAATACTAAGATTTGGAGATGAAGACAAACCGTCAAGACTGGGACTTGGACTTTCTTCATTTTCCTCAATTACCCTACTTGGTTTTTTGCTCTTAATATCATTGTTGTTATTGATATTATTATTGCTGTTATTATTATTATTATTATTATTTAAATTGGTTGATTTACTATTTGATTCCACAGAAAGAGTTAATTTGTGAGTTCCCCGTGAGAAACTCTTTCTTGTAGATTGATTGTAAGAAAAAGGAGATGCTGAGCCAATTACCGATTGTATCGACACCGGTTGTGTACCCAATTGCTGGTTATTAGGTAAAGGTTTAACTGCTGGAGCGATAAAAAATGGACTTATCCTACTTATGGGCATAGTATGAATAGTAACCATATCTCGTTCATATGCACCGCATATCTAAAAAGAGTTTAATCATAAACGACAAATATTTTTCAAAAAGTGTCCGTACTTACAATTTCTCTATTTACTATTTTAATGTCTCCTAAAAAACTCCATGTGGAATCTATTTTATCGAACTCTCTTGTAGGCTCCCATCCTATAACTGAAATACCCTCAGCAGTTCCAACAAATAAACATTCCCCATTTTCACTACAATTTAAAAACTTATTTTTCAATTTGATATCAAATAAATTGTTTCTCACCTAAAAGTGATACACTTTACTGTCTGTCCAGCATATGGGCTTGAACTTTCTGTTTTGGATATTAAAATATTTTTCTCTAAATCATAAATATACACACTTCCATCATTTCTACCAGCTGCTAATAAAAACTCATTAGGATGAAATTGGATACAAGTTACCGGCGAAGCTCTTTCACTAAATTCAATTATTTGTTTACTTTTCCGTATATCCCAAATAATTACGGATCCTTCTGTACCAGCTGAGGCAATCCATAAACCATCAGGAGAGAATTTTACAGAATTAACGTTTGCTATATGGCCTCTATACGTTTTCATGCATCGATTCTGATTTCTGACATCCCAAAGTCTGAATTAAAAAAGAACGAATTATAAAATTAATATATGTAGCTAGTTTTATTACACTATTCAGTAAAATCTTAATTAAAGAATTATCTGCAAAACTGATTCAATTAAAAAACTAGAAAGTTATCCTACTTAGTACCTACATACATATCTGAATTTATAATCATTTCGATGAATCTAATTATGTTAAAGCGAAATGTGACATGCAAAACATTAAACAATTTAAAAGGCCTTGAAAAAAAATATCAACACTTAATTACAAAACCATATCACATACTAAACACATACATATTTCACAAACATCTTCATTTTTTGTCAGTCAGTTACCATTTAAACATTTAGAAAAATTTTTATGCACACCTTAGTTAAATAAAAATATGAATTTAACAATTTTTATTTCAAACTCAGTTATATTTCAAAGTTAAATTTGTAGTGTGCGTAGGCGATGAAATATTAAGATTTTGTTAAATTTTTACGTTTTCTTTAAGTAAAAAAAAAAGCTTTCAAAAAAAATATACTACGCACCTGACAGTTGTATCATTACTACCGGATACTACGTATTCGCCAGATGGATTAAAATCTAATGTTCGAACGCTTTTCATATGTCCATTTAAGGTTGAGCAAATTGTTTGAGCATTAAGATCCCATCTTCTTATAATACCAATATCATCAGCTGAATACACAAAATCATCATTATATGCAAATTTAACACAATCAATTGTTCCATTATGGCCAGGTAAAGACTAAAACAATAAAATGGAATACAATAAGATATAAAGTTCATATTGTAAATAAATTTATAAATTGGCTATTATTGCATTTTGAATCATATTAATTTTATTTTTATGAACATAATAGGTATGGTTACTTATTATATGCATGTATGAGTGATATAGGGAGGTGGGTACCTACCTAACCTACCAATTTGTGCACATCAGAAACTAAACACTAAAATTTCACATTTTGGTATTCTTACCATAAAACATTCAGATTCCCCTATCGCCCACAAATTGACGTTCCTATCCTGTCCACCGGTTACTAACACACGTCCTGTTTCACCTAAATCCAAACATGTAACTTTTCCATTGTGAGCTTTTATTTCATCTAAAATTTACATATAACTATATATATTAAAAATTAACAATATCAGTTTATATGTATGAAAAACTGAGTTTATAGTAAAAATAAAATTAACAAATTGTTTATATCACAAACATTTAAAGAAGCCTTCTTTTTAATTGCAATTGGTTTAAATATAAGAAAACTGCTTAATTAAAAGCATTTTTCTTTATCTTCAATAGAAAACAAGTGTAATAGTCTAACATATGCATTTTTAAGTAGTTTATTTTCAATGTAATATAATTAATTAGCCCCCGCTTTCTTTCATAAATAATTATTCAATTCTAAAATTGGTAATTAAAAATAAAACCACTTTTTTCTATCAAAAGTAATCTTTTACTTTCAGTTTTTAAAGAAAATATAAAACTATTCATCTTTTTCCATATTTACTCACATATTTTTGATGTTAATTTCCTCGATAAAGCCATCACAAAAGAAAAGTTTCTTTTCTGTCATATAATAATATTTTTAAACTTTTTTCTCACTTCTATTATTATTAAATACAATTTTATTCGGTGAATCTTACATTATATATTTCAATAAATTAGAAAAAATACTATAAAATTTTTCATAACTATTATCTTTCAATCGTAGCCACATAAATGTTGATAAACGGGGTGAATAATTATTTTTGACGTTTCATAATAATTCAGACAACAAATATGTCATTTATGTAAAAAGTGTTTAAAACTTGTTGAAAATTTTTAATATGGCCAGCTGAATGAAAATTTTCTGCAAAGTAACACTTCCCAAAATGTTTTTTCTCAAACAATTTATTTTTAATTTGAAACACAAAACATATTCAAAAGAAATATTAAACTTGTACAACATTTTAAATGCATCTGATGTCAACTGGTTTAGTGTTGATAATTAATTTGCTGTCTAATTTATTTTTATATCAATTACAAAAAATGTGAGTTATACACAGATACAATCCTATTCAACTAGGTAGTATAAGGATGTAAAGAGGGTATATTTTTAGTTGAAGATGTTTTGAAACATACACATGCTTTTTGTTTCATTATATTTTCGTTTCTAAATGTTGCCAATTGTTTGATTAAATTTTGCAATCTAGTGAACTTACTACTTCATCAGTTTAAATCAAACTTAACGTTCTAAAAGTAAATAAATATTGAATAAAAGTAAAAAAACCCAAAATCGAAAAAATTTGAAGAACTGCAAGCAAATCCCCATAAAATAAAAATGTGGTGAATTTTTCATTAATATTTTAATTTTGTTGCCAAATATTTATGGCATACTTGCGTTGCTAACATTACTTTAAAGTTTAATTCGTTAAGAAAACCTTAAAAACAATACCCAGGTCAAGTAGAGTGTGTAGAGTATATTATAAGTAGTAAACTAAAAATTAATTTGAGTCAAATTTGAAAAGAAAACTTGAGAACGGATATGCCTCCAAAAAGAAAAAGAAAAGCACAATCTACAAATGAAAAGGTAATTTTCTTAATCAATTCATTGGAGATACCCTCTATTTTTATTTTTTTTTAGGGTACTGTTAAAAAACAAAAGGCGGGAAATACTCAAGAGACTAATGGAGAGGAATTAGACGCCTCAAAGCCGACTTTGTACATTGAACATTGTAAATCATGATCCGTTTTCAAAAGACGTGCTATAGATTTGCACAAATCTATTGCAGAAAAATTATTAGATTGTTCCTTGCAGCTTAGTTTAAATTCCGATGGAGCCCCACGACGTGGTGCCTTTGAAATATCAGTAGCTGAAACACCAACATCTAATAAAGAAATGAGGACTTTGATTTGGTCCGGATTGAAAAAAGGCCCACCAAGAGCAGAAAAGTTTCCTTCTGCAGAAGTTATTATTGATAACATAAAAAAAGTTATTCTGAAATAATATCCCCTCAAATAAAATCGTAATTTTTAGTTTTGGAATTAATGACCTGCATTTATTAAACCATTTTTAAATGGAGTAAATGTGGTGAAGCTTTTCCAATTGAAAAAGCTAACTTTTAAAAAAAAAACGTTACAAATAAATTCCCAAGAATAAAAAAATTAACAATTTTCAATTTTTGGATTTTATGACCTGCATTTACTAAACCATTTTAATTGGAGTAATTGTGGCGAAACTTTTTCAATTGAAGATATTAATTATTTTAAGAGTTGTATTATTGCAAATAATTTTATTAACTAATGTAAAATTTTAAATGTACTCCTGCTATTCTTTAAATAAATCTTTAACATTAACAACATGAGTCGAATTTTTATTCAAATCTGCATGAGCAACGTTTTCAATTACATTGTCGTTTGATTCTGTTTCGACTTTAATTTTGTCTTGAAGCATTTCATATGCGACCTCACGAATTTTTTCTTCATCTAAAGCTCCTTGTGATTTTAGGTTATTATAAATATCGATGTATTGTTGACATTGTGTTCTACTTTTTAAATCTTTTAAGTTTATTGTGTCTCTTCCTTTATTTATTTTATGGTAGTGCCTAATATAATGAAAAATTATTTTTTAGCATTCTAATATTTTCTTATGCATCAATACCTACGATCTTATTACGTCTTCTTCATAAAAAATTTTTTTCAATTTAATATTTGGAATCGGTCTGTCAAACTTCGGTTCCAAATTTGGAGGAAATGCAGCATACACTTCGTACCATAATGGTTTATCTTCTGGTTTCATAGCTCCAGATTTTAATAAACCTGTAACTCTAATTTATTTGTTCAATACGAATTTAATTTTTTAAAAAATATACATATTTATGCGATCCTTATCCAAAGATAGCTACAACATACACACTTTGGCAAATATTATTTTAGATTTTAGTAACTTAATAAGAGTCGCATAACAATATCATATGATTTATACCTAGTAAATATTGTCCCAATTTTTTCTAAACGACTTTGAGCCATTTTTAAATTAAGTTAATTTAAATTTTTTCTAAAATTCATCTACCACCCTTAAATAATTAATAAATTGTGTTTATTTTTAAGCAGTGACAATTGACAGTGACAATTAATACTGTTTATATCTGAAGCGCAGGGCTGCTTCAACCATTTCACTTAATTCTAATTTGACCATTAATGCTCTCTCCTTGTATTTAAAAATTAGTAATTTCTGTAATTAATCTTACACTTACTTTACATTGTTTTGTAAACTAATTAATTTCTGTGTTATTGTTTAATAAGATATAAGCGAATTAAATCAAATTTTTTTACCTCAAACGAAACCAAGGAAGGAGTTTTTATTGAAAATACTTAAAAATATCAGATCAACCTAAATAGACGGTACGCGGTTATTAAAAAAAAATACTGACGGTGATTTTTCAACCGTGATTTAAAATAATACAAAAATTAAGGTACGGCATTTTATCCCGGAATCAAATTTCCCATTCCGAGGGTACAAACTAAAAAATTATTTTTATTGTTTTTACCTTTTTGTCATATTTTTAACATCAACCATAGTTTTATTCCAATAAAAATTGAATAATTTATAAAGGTAGAATTTCAATATTCCACAACGGCAGTACGTAATTTTGATTCCTAAAAACACTAATGTGAAGTAGTGTTAGAGAACTAAAAATATGTTGCACAAATATATCCGGATATATCGATAGTTCTGTAACGGAACTTGCTGTATAATGTAATGTACTGGTGATCTGCATTTAATTTCTAAAGAAACATGTAATAACGTTATATACATGATAATGTTATTATAATCAAAGATGGAATGAATAAAACAGTATATAAATAACATAATTTGAAAAATATTAACTGTACTTAGATTTATCAAATTTTTTGTCGGTTGCCAATTACTGGCAAGTTGAAATATTTTAGAATATTTGTAAAATTATTGCATACATTGAAACAGTTATGCCAATAACTGGTTATGTAAAAGATCGATTAAATTCGGCATTTAAACAACATGTAGGTTAAATTTCAACTTTGACATAGCTAGTAACAAGTTTTTTCGCTTGCTCATTCCAAAAAAGGAATATAAAGAATACTCGTATAATGAAACTCAATATTTGAAATGAAAAAAAAGGACAAGGCTAAAACCGTCGATAGTTCTCTATCTCTAATGTGAAGTAACATAGTACGAGTATTCCAAACTAAAAACAAGTAAATGAACATAAAAAAAAGCCATTGGCAAGTATTATGTAAAGTATTATTTACATAATTGGGTATGTAAATTTATATAATTTATATTATCTGAGTAAAATGAACATTGATAATTTTATTGTATTGCAATAAACCATTGATAAACAATATAAAAATGATAATACATACATAGATAAAATTATGATTTAATATATGTACATAATTTTATACTACATTGTGATACGGTGCATATAATGAATATCTGCTCCGGGTTTAACTTATAGTACAAGTGCATCATTATTTCAAAAATTTACTTTTTAATCTGAACAATTACTTTTAATGTTCTGTTAAGCTTTTTTGATTTAGATTTTTTTTTATCAGTTTCCTTCCTGTTTTTTATTATTTCCAAACATAATATTAAAAATCCAAATAAATTTCCAACAGCCAAAACGTAAAATGATAACTGCAAGTCCCGAAGACTTAGGACTTTTGCAAAATTATTCTCATTTAGTGGTTCTTTTAAGTGTGCAAGATATTCTTTTAATTTTCTTTGATTTGTCCAGTAATTAAGCAAACCAGATGCAAGGAATTCCAACAATAAGTTATTTATTCTTTCGGCATAGGGTGAATTTTTTTGCAAAACATAAGATAACATATATAATTTGGGGCATTCTGGAATAACATGCAAAACCTTCCTTGTAAAGTAATTTGAATCTTGTAATTGTAAACCTAACCATCGATTAACAGAAGCAAAATTCTTCTTTTCAACCATCGATTTCACTAAACTAACATTTTTGTTTGACAAAGTCATTTTACTATCTAAATAATCATAAGTTGCGGAAACATTTTTTGGAAACAAATCATCTTTCATTGATTCATATTTATATAAAATTTTATAGCCTTTTTTGGCTAACTGCTGTAAAGTATTTATATCAGGATAAAATAACGGCTTTGTATAAACTGTGGCCAAACTGGATTCAAATATTGCGCCAAATATAACACTTACTATTGATACAGATAAAAGGAATATTCGACCAGATTTATATTTAGGTAGCTTAATTAATCCAACACGTACCCAGATAATCCATGTATCAACATAAATTTGCAAAATTTCTGTTACACCGAACAATTTAAAATTAAAATTTAACATATTTGCCCAATTAAAAAGGCATAATATAGTTCCACACAAAAATGCTACCACTATATAACAAATCCACATTTCGTACCCAACAGAAAATAAAGGCAATATAGTTGGTGGAATTCTCTCAGATTTTGGTACAAAAATACATAATCGATCATCATAAACACCAACTGTATATTCAACATCTCGTGTGTTGTAATCCTTAATAAAATATCCAGTTATCACAATATCTGTTTCGTTTCTAATCAATAATCCGATACCACCAATAAATGAGCCGTTTGGCAATTTTAAGCTAAAAAGAAATGAAAATTTTATTTACTTTGCTTTATATTAGTTGATAAATTTATTTTGAAACTGCTTTTTAATGCAAATTTATTAAATAAAACGTAAGGTAGACGGAAATGCACATTTGAATATCTTTGGCAATAAATTGCAAGTTTTGCCGACTTAGAGACAGACACTTAAAGTTAAATATGTATGTACATAAGTGTTTATATAATACTTACGTTTCCTGGAAATCATTATACGAAATTTGAACAATTTTAATTAAAGTAAACAATAAAAATTATAGTGTTAATACAGATCAAGGTTTAAAATCATATGTATGATGGTTTGGAATTTCAAAACTGATTATTATAAAAAAATCATTTAAATTCTATCCCTAAAAAATGAATAATTCTATCCTTATTTTAAGTTGAAAAATGAATAAACTACTCATCGCCCACAGAGTATCCTTAAAATTAACGTCTGCGACAAAAGAATTGAATTAGAACTGCTAATAAGCTGATGTTCTTACTAATTGTGAGAATGGGAGACGTTAGAGTGTTTACATGTACGTAATACATACACACATGCATTTGTATATAATTAAAACCAAATGTGATCCAATTTACCTTATTTAATTTATAGGATTAATTTAAATTTTACCCAAAATAGTTTTTATCAGGTTCTTGTAATATCATTGTAAAATTCATTTTATCCCTTAAGAGGTACATGACCTCGGCATCAGTTCCATAAACTTTTAAAATTTTCTTGGTTTTTTCATCCAATATCATTTCGGCTAATACTGAACGAAAAATTTGCACTCTGACAGGATAATAATTTAAATTTTTGAACTTATTCCGCCGTAATTCCAGATTTTGCATATGTAAAGGCATAACAATGCCCCAATTCTTATTAGAATTATATTCCAATTCGAATGGTAAAAACAATTTTATGTCTTTTAAGCTTATTAAATAAATCTCATGCACTTCGTAATATTGCCAAAGTTTTCTTAAGTTATCTACTATTAAATTAGTTTCATTTTCTATTTTATAATCCATTACAAAAAAATATACTCCCGATTTGTAAAAATCACACTCCAAACTAAATAACTTATGAATTGATGTAACGATTCCAAAATTATCATATTCAATGTTCTTTAATGAGCAATCCGTATAAACACAAATGGGAGAAACATTTTGTTTTATGAAAAAATCATAGATTCTTTTATTCGAGACTTCATGGTAGGACGATGCATCTATAATTAATTGATGTACATTTGATATAATACTTAATAAAACTTTTTCAGTTATAAAATTTAAGCTTTTATTATCATCATCATCATTGATATTACTTAAAGGCTTATCACCAACTTTTGCTAAAATTTTTATAGTGAAAGGGATAACAAATATTAAAGGTATAGTAAAATAGTAATAGAACAAAGTATTAATTTTCATTTTGAATGTTTTCTATGCTAGTGGTTGATCTAATACTATGTACTTAAAAAAATAGATTTTAAGAATCCGTGTTAGTATAAAAACTATTAACATGCAAAATAAATAAAAGAAAAAAGTGTCCTTAGGGAAAGCAGTGTAAATACTAAAAGTAAATGCCTACAAATATCAATTTAATTTAATTTTCGAATAATATCTTTACATAAAATAAATATAATACACATAAGTAGATAAAATTATTACTTTAAAGGTTATATAACAAATCAGGACAAAATTACGCGTGAATTTGCTTTGTTACAAATGAAACATATAAATAAGAATATTTATTTGTTTAAAACAAAATAACAAAAAATATATTGGAATTAATAAAATAATAAGTTTACTCAAAAAAGGTGTCTTAACATCTCTCAATCTTCATAAAAGTTTTTAGAAATTTATATTAGTAATTTGATTGGGTCCTATGTTTCTTATCTCAATCCAATAAGGATGTACATATGTATGTGATTGAATCGGAACATTAATATAATCTCATAAAAACATCAGATTTATTTATTACTTAGTGTCGCAGCACTGTTAAGATTAATTTGCAATATGAGATGCTTCTAGATTATTTTAAAGGTAACTTTATATCATGTACATACATATATACATATGTGTGAATATATTCATATATATATATATACAAAAAAAAACTATATATATATATATATATATACATATATATTTTTTGTTTTGTAAAGAATTGAACAATAAACATTTTTTCTTATGACACATTTTTCTTTAAAAATACTTTTTATTCAAAATTTAAATAATTTGTAAATAACTATTTAACAAAGTTATTTTTCACAAAAATATTTTAAAAAATTTGCATGATATTTCTGTAAGTTTAAACTTTCAATCTCAAATACATATGTATATCATTTCAGAGTTTTCTCTTATCTCTCAGCCAAGACCATTTTGAAATATCATTGCTTCCGCATTTTTCAATAGCTTTATAAATATCTAGAGATTCTCCTTTCGGAATGCCGTAACCATCCTTCAAGCCGTGAGGATTTGACGGTGTTTTACAATCGGCATTTGATTCTTTTCTTAAGGCTCTATCTACTTCTACGGAAGAAAAGAAAGCTATTGATTGTGGCAAATCATTTAGACCAATTCGACTTGCACAAAAAGATCGTGTTAATAAATTTGTTACATGTAATGCTAATGCTGCTCTATAAACCAAATTCTCTTTTACTAAATACCGTACTTCATCGTGGAAACTAAGGCAAAACCTTAAATTATTTCCCATTAACCATCGCATTGAAACTAACATTAAATGTAAGAAATCTACAGCACCGCTTTGGACCACCCAATTGACGCGGGTAGGCAAGAATCTATCATCATTCGCTTCTCCCTCTTCAAATTGTGGCTGTAATGCCCTACTTAAGCGGCAATTCAGGAAGGGTGTGACAGGATCTTTGCTTCCAGCAATTTCTTCTAATCTGTTGAACATAGCGCTTTCAATTCCATTTTCCCATTTAGGTTTTTTAAACATTTCTGGTACAGAAGTATTACTTGCTGCCGCCATTTTTAATGCTTCATATCCGCTTAACATTTTACTTTTATATGCAATATTCTGAAATTCGTCTTTAAGTTCATATACTTTTTTTCCTTAAAATATTTTAAAAATTAGTAAAAAAAAAATGACAAACTTATAAAACACCTTTGGTAAGTGTAAACATCTTCTGTGCTTTTGATTTGGCTTCGGAATCAGAAATGGCCGGATTAAATTGCTTAAGTAGTCTTTCAGCAAAATTTTGCCCAGCACCATATATTCTTGCATAATTTATTATTTTAGCATGATCTCTTGAAATCCCTATTGCTTTTGCAGTGACAGAATGCATATCCGTTCCATCTGATTTGGTGCCACTTATAGTCATCCAACCTAGCGGTGTTGCACCATGCATTTTATAAGCACTGGCATCTCCTAATACCGATGCTATCCATAGCTCTTGAGAATCTACGTCCGCACCAACGATTCTGTAGCCAATGGGAGATTGAACCATAGCTCGTAATTCTGAACCGACCCTGTTACTTTGAGCGTTACTGGCGGTCATCCATGTTGGCTCCATAGCTCTGCGTGTTAAAGTTCCACACACTACAACTTGAGGTATTATAGCTCCATATTCAGTTTTGGAGCTTTTTAAATGGTACGGTAATTTGTTATGTGGTATCCAAACCACAAATTGATTTTGAATTCGATCACGATTATTTCTCCAATATGATAACATTTTAGCGATTTCAATTACACGCTCGGCCGTATTACTTCCATCCCCAGTTAAAACATTTTCCGAAAATTTATTCAAAAAGTCCTTAGCCATAGGATTACCAACACGAAATGATGGTCCATTTTTGTGTGGCAATTTAAAAAACCAACAGACACCTTCTAAAACTGTATTACACCATACGCCTGTTCCAGTATACTTTCCATATGTTTTATCTTTTTTCACTTTTTTTTTATAATAATCTCTTTTACTTATGTTATGCTCCACATCTTTAGTGAGACTATCAAAAGCGTACAAACTTTCACGCTCTGAAGCCACAAGATCAGTTTCAATTAGTGGACATTTTTGAATTAATTGCTCAATGGGTATTTTTCCAGACTCAGTATCTGAATGCTTTTCTTGGAAAGGCACTAAAAATCCCCAACCATGATCTTTTATATAGTGCAACGGATACCCTTCCCAACTTAAAGATAAAAGTTTTGGAACTATTTGCATACCGGTACCAATATTATTGGGACCTGGTAACCAGTCAGGCGCATTGGGTTTAGAACACAATTTCCTATACCAATTGGGATAACCAACAAGTAGTGGCCTCCTTACAGGAATATTTACTTTCTGATCGTACAAGTATTGGAATTTTTGTGCCAACAAATCCTCTTCCACACTTTCATCCTTAATTTCTGTAGTATTTTGATGATCTATATTCTCAGACTTACTTTTGAGAGTATTTGCACTTTGCATTTCTCTTAGATTCTTAGTACCTTTCTTCATTTTGAGAGTGGTTGTCGACCAATCTTGATCCCACATCCATAAATCTTTTTCATAATCTTTATTATGCATTAGTTGACAAGCCTCGTTAGCACGTTTTTCTAAATGGTATTTACCCTCAATATCTAAATCCATATAGGTAAGATCTGCTTCTTCTATATAGCGGTTCCAGTTTTCATTTACGGGTAAATATGCAGATCCTAAAAATAAATTAACAAATTTAAAATTAATTATTTGTATAAACAAAATACGAAGTATACGAATATCTACCTATTTCTAGCATACCAGCCAGAGTTACAGGATGTGGAAAACGATTTTTAAACAAGGGAAATAGTTGCCTAAACACATCCTGGGTAGCCACTACATCTGAACTGCAATAATTTATTAATGTTTCCAAATTTTCCCAAACATCGTTTAAAGTGCCTTTTACAAAAATTTCGCGCTCCTCTTTTTGTAAATCCTTTTTACAGTATAATTTATAAACTTCTTTTAAGCTATTTAATGAACTTTGTGAAGACCATATATTGTCTTCTTCGTCTAAAGTTTGTTTTGATTTCAACATGGATCTTTGATAGCTAGTTATTCCACTAACACAAACATGTAATGACATAGTGTCTAAAAATCGCACCTTTGTGTCTTCTATTAAATACTGTTCACTAATTCTAGCTCTATCATATGAAACGTTATGTCCAATTATTAATTTAGGCATAACGTTCCCCAAAGGTATGAGATCTTTAAAGAAATATTTCTTAGATTCTAAGTTATTTGCATTAACTTGACCTCTAGTTATTAAATCTTCTGATAACCAAGAATACCAATGATTTTTTCCTACAGCACATGCTATTGTCGGTCCTAAACCGACTGACATGCAAACTTCTACATCTAAGATAAGAGCATTTTCGTCCGGATAATCTACAAGTTCGAAAGTTCCATTTTGTGAATACTTCGTCCAACCACATTCAAAATTCCATTTTCTTGGACGATCAGGAATATCTACCAATAAATTTTCTGTTAATAGAAGATATGGGTCAGATTGTTCTCTTGCAATTTGATAAAAATGTTCTTCAATTGACTGACCCTTTAATTTGGGTAATTTCAAATAAACGTCCTCTAATTTTGGACTATTTTCAATATCGATATCAAACTTCTTTATCTCTTGCAAACATCTTTTAACTATTGTTTCATCAATTTTTGGTGAATGTTCATTTTTAAATATTTGATTAAATAAATTTCGAGATATCATTTGAATTTTCATTTCATTTTCTCTATACTCATTCATTTCACTATTTTTTAATTTTTGGACATTATTTTTAAAAATTCTAACTGTAGAATGCGGAGTAAAATCTTTAAGCATAGATTTGCAGCAATGTCGATATATAATCCTCATTATTTCTAAAATTGGAAAAACCAATTTAAATTTCTACTTAACATCAAATAAACAAAATAATAATTAAATAAATATAAACAAGAGTATTAGGCCGCTACATAACTGAACTGTCATTTACACTGGTAATAAAGTAAGTACTACCATGTTTTTTGAGTTTAAGGATTGTTGACACTTTGCTGACAATAGCTATATGCATTGAATTTTGGGCTATAAATTATAAAATTTACTATCATATAAAATCTAAATTAAAATTATGTATTAAATTCTTGTTTATATAAACCGAAACCAATGTTGATATTATTATTTATATTTTAATGTTGAAATTAACCTATATTTAGGAATTGTAAAATTGTTAAATAATCCTTCTTGAATTTTCATATCCAGGGAGATTCCGTAATCAGTGACGTAACATTATGATACCATTATTTATCATAATTATACCATCAAAAATTATTAAAATTTTTGTTCAGAACCATGTGCCAAGTCTCATTAGTTTCTGAGGTACAAGAATTTTCACCAATTTTCACGAAAATTTCACTTGCTCAAGTATTTTCGCTTACAACTTCCCTTTTAAAAAAGTTGGAAGCTTCAAACGAATAGTTTTTGAAAGCATTAATAATGAACTCCAAAACAACATATTACTTGATTTTATATTTTATGTACTCTCAGGATATCAAGCATTCGAACTTAAAAAAAATCAAAGTTTCCTGTTTTTTTTTATTTTTTTTTTTAGTTTTCTCTAAAATTTTGTTATTGGACGAAATTTTTTTACAGAATTTTTCGCACTTTCTTCAAGGCCAAATACATAATTATAGTGACTTTTTATATAACAAAATACAATTAAATTTGTTTTTCTCAGTAGCTAATATCTTTGGTAGGTAGTGCTTTCTAACATACATATATATATTACAATTTTTGCTGTAAACAAATATAATATTTAAACAAATTGCATTATTATCATTCATTTCATTATTTTATAATTTTGGAATATCTTTTTTAAATCTTCTAGCTAAAGAATATGGAGCAAGGACGTTAAGATTAAATATCAATATTCAATTAATAATAACATTATTTTCCCATGTAATAAAATATAAAGAAGGCAAAGGATGTTATTGCATATGTGGGACGATATGTATTGTATTCGAGAGTTTTTGCTTAAATATTTTAATATCAATATATGAAAATTATATATTAACAACATATCAGTAATAACATTGCTTAAAATATATTGGTTATATAACAGAGCCATCTATAATCTTTATAAATTGTGCTACATTAATATACATATTAATATGTAGTTACTAAAATCAAAACTGCATTATATCAAAAGTTTGACACTAATTTTTAAAGAGTGTGGCAATACTTAGGTGATCACATTTTATTAAACGAAAGAAGTTTCTTTTTGTGTATTTACAACTTGACATTACAAAAAAAATATTTGTATCAGCCGTGATTTCCATACGGTAACCAAAACAGTGCAAAATAAATATTTACACTGGATCATAAAAAACCGAACAAAAGGAAATTAATTTACAAAGATGCCTGCTCTTAAAAAACCAAATATATTAATAACTGGTATTTTGAATTTGTTATAGAAAGATAAAATCATAAATTTGATAATTTAATAGGTACACCCGGGGTAGGGAAATCTACATTATGTGACAAGTTAGCAGAAAAGCTTAACTTTGAGTGGCATGATATCTCAAAAATAGCGAAAGAAAACGATTTCATTGAGAGCTATGATGAAGACTATGAATGCCCAGTTATTGACGAAGAAAAAGTAAACCTTTTGCTTTGATATTTTCAAAAGTTATTCTGTCAGTTTTTTTAGTTATTGGATTATTTAGAACCAATCATTACAAGAGGAGGAAACATAATTGAATATCATGGATGTGATTTCTTTCCTGAACGGTTTTTCGATATAATTTACGTCATTAGATGCAATAACACAATTTTGTATGATAGATTGAAAGAACGTAACTACAACGAAAAAAAACTAAGATCTAATATTGAGTGTGAAATATTCCAAACGATTTTAGATGAAGCCAAAGATTCATATGACGAGAGCATTGTTTTTGAGTTGAAATGTGAAACTACAGACGATGTGGACAACAATGTACGTACTGTTAAAGAATGGTATTCGAATTGGAAGAGAAAATAAAGAATTAAAATTTGAATTAAACTAGTTTTTGATTTTAAACATTTTGTAGGTTAAACTGAAACGCCAATAGCAATACGGCTGTCATATTTTATTGAATAAAATTAACCTAAAAAATACTTTGCCTGATATTCTGTTTGTGGTGACATGTTAAGTTTTATAAAAGTTTTCACTCTAAAAAAAATCCAAATTAAAATACAAAAACGTTTTCATACAATAAGTTATACATATCCAATGAATAAAGTTTATTTTCGACACAATGCAGAAGATAATCAACTGCAAATCAATTTTAGATATAAAAATTCTAACTTAAATGTAGATCGAGACTTCAATTTTTGTAGAAACGCAAATGAAAATGTTATTGTTTGTTTAGATCGTATTAAAAATAATATTGAAAAAGAGTTCACCAAAAAATCTAAAAAGAAAAAGCAAAAAAAATCTGAAGCTGCTGTCGGCAACAATCAGGATAAAGATATCATAGTCCCTGAGGTTAGAAGTTTTTCCGTAGAAATTTACATGTTTGTATGTACATATAAATTTCTACTGACATATATACATACATATTTACATATAAAACTCGTCCCCCAAATTATCAATATTCACAAGCTTCTTTTTAGATTCTAGTTCAACTTTTACAAAATGACGAGCCTGTAAAAAATGACGAAACATTTGCTTCGATATTAAATCTTTCGGAAGGGAATGGGCTTGTGCTTCGTATTTTAAATGATTATTTCCAAATTCAATATAATAAGCCATGGGTTTTGACGGTTACTTTACCTTCAGTTATTCTAGCTGGATACTACCTATATCCTAATAAACTTGAAATGCAATACGCTACCAAAGAGGACTCAATTGGAATCTGGTATAAAGGGATTATGGTAATTAGAATTTTTTGTTTTTGTTCAAAATAAACTTACAATATACTAACCTTTATTTTCGAAGCCAAAGTCAAAAAATATAATGAATATAGTTTGGGAAAAAGTAGGTGAAGGGTTATTCTATTGCACAAAAAATGAAGACATCGGACATTTAATAAGATTTGAATTAAAGCCAAGTAACGGAAAGGAATTTGGACCAACAAGTGAAGTTATTTCAAAAACCGAAGTTCAAGCGGGTCCTGGATTTTGTCCTTTTGAAAACCGCCATTTATTTACACAATCGCGATTAAAAGATGACAGGTTCAGAGTAGTTTCATATAATTTGTTAGCCGATTACTATGCCGACAGTGATTATTCAAGAAAAGAATTATTTCCTTATTGCCCGCCATACGCTTTAAATATAGAATATAGGAAACAGTTATTTATTAAAGAAATTACTGGATACAATGCTGATATAATATGTTTACAAGAATTAGATTCCAAAGTTTTTGAATTGGATTTGGTACCGATTTTGCAGCAAAAAATGTATGAAGGAATTCTTCAGAAAAAAGGATCCACCGCTGAGGGAATCTGTATATTCTACCAAACCGTAAGATTTGATTTGATTCGATCCATGAGTATTAATATTGGAGAAAACATTGCAAATTTGAACATCTTTTCTAATCTGCATTCCAAAATTGCTGCAAACAAACCTTTAATGGAACGAGTAACTGATAGAGCAACTACATTACAAGTAGTAATTTTGAGGTCCAGAGATACGGGGCATTTTTTAATTGTGGCAAATACTCATTTATATTTTCATCCTGACGCTGATCACATTAGGCTATTGCAAATTGGGTTTTCCATGATTTATGTTAAAAATGTTTATGAAGAATTATTGAAAGAATACAAGTTATCCTTAGAACAACTATCAATAATATTTTGTGGTGATTTTAATAGCGTTCCAGAATGTGGTATCTATAAACTTATGACCGAAAAGCACGTTGGAGAAGATTTTATTGATTGGTCAAGTAGTAAGTTTTTTTTTTGTTTGTTTCCATAATTAAAACCTAATACATATGTTTAGAGAAAGAAGAAGCAGTGAAAAATGTTTCCTTGGAACAACCATTTGATTTTGGTTCAGCTTGCGGATGTCCGACATACACAAATTATACCCATTTGTTCTCTGGCTGTTTGGATTATATATTTTATCAAAAAAATAATTTGGAGGTAGAACAGGTATTACGAAAATATTTATACCTGTATGAAAATTAATTTAAATTTAAAAAATTCTCTCTTAGGTTATTCCTCTGCCAACTGATGAGGAAATTAAAGCTCACATAGCTATTCCTTCTGTTGTTTTTCCATCAGATCACATAGCTTTAGTTGCTGACTTAAAGTTTAAATCAACAATTTGATTATTCAGTACAATTGTAAATAACTAGCAATTTTTTTAATTTATAAAATATTTCAAAAAAACTAACTTATTATTACATATCCATACTTTCAACTTGAGACACATCAAAATCGTCATCATTTCCCCAAACTTCCTTTTTTTGAGTTTCCGCCAATTCAGTTTCCTCATTTTCAGCTGTATTCCACAGCTCATCATCATCATCCACATTCATTAATAACGCTTCGGAATTTTTTTTATAATTAGATGTTTTTTTAGCTGCCGTAGGGGTCTTACTAGTTTGGGGAGCTCTATTGCCTTGAATGATCTGACTTTCTTCAAAGTATAAGTTGGGATGTGTGATTCCATGGTCAAGCTTTGTATCATGTGTTATTTCAAAGTATTTTCCGCAAGCTATTTGGTAATGACCTCTTTGGGCGTAATTCATAACTTCTTGAACTGCTGCTGCAGACAAACCGTAGCTTGTTAATTTAAGTTTTAATGCTGATGTATCAAAATGCTTAAAGGGACAGCCATAGGTTTGTGAACCAACACTACTCGTTATAATTTTCATGCAAGAATATGGAGTGTAATTCACCATAGATCCTTCCTTACCATAATTATGTCGAATATTGTAAGCGTACGATTTTTCAAATTTGTCAATATCCATTTGTTTTACAAATTCTTCACGCCAAAAACGTAAGGAATCTTCTAGAGTAACTCCAATTCCTTTTAAAAATAGACCATATTGCATTCTACCTCCGTGCTTATGGTGGTGTGTTGTCCGCAAAACTTCATGACAAACTCGCATACATAATGGAAATGACTTTTTAGACAATTGATCAATTGCTTCGATTGGGACTTGCCCACTCTTTGTAAGAGCATAATCTTTGCCAGTGTATGAGGTATGCAAACCTTTTAATAGATAATAAATTCTAAAAAAAAATTGTTAAATAAATAGATGTTATAAGATGGATAGAATTTATTAGTATTGATAAAATTACCGTTCATCGTTCTCTACTTCTGGCAATAGTTTTTGGCAAGCGATCAAACCATGTTCTATTTCTGCTTGATGTTTGGCGGCGACAATTGAAATAAAATCATTCGAGCTAACGTAAGCATATCCTTTTTTCAAAAAGCATTTCCTGGATCGTACAAGATCTAAAACTTCCAAGAAGCTAACTTTATAGAAGTCATTTGCTTCTATTGTATGAAGATTTCTGCCAAAAGTTGAATCTAACAAACCATCTTTTATTTCTTCTTTTTGTTCTTGACTTAAAGGTACATAGTTCATTTTATTATAAGCGAGAAATTGCTTAATTTCTTGTGGCATTAGAGAGGAAAACTTATACCGAAATAGTTCCATTTCTCTGGCAATAAACCATCTACAAATAAGTTGAAATTAACAATTAAAAATTTATTTGTCAGTTATTTAAAAAATTGCCCACTTTTTCAAATCTTGGGATCGGCAGTAGCCTAGCCTTAAAATAAAATGCGATATGTAATCACGTCGTCTCGCCTGTAAATCTAAATCTTTTTTGGTACTGCTGCCGCCACTTAGCAATCTTACATATCCTTTTAAACCTTCACGATTTAATTCATTAACAATATTTTCTTTATATTCATCAGATAAAAAACGCAAATTTTTACACCCAGCTTGCTCAAATATTCTTAAAACTTTAAGTCTTTCTAAAGCTAAATCTTCAAATTCTTGAATTTTTATTTCTTCAAGAGGTGGTAAACGATACAACAAAACATTAAAAGGATACAAATTTTCTAAGTTTTCATATTCTGGCTTCCGCTCTACACGAACGCGGCTTTTCCGTGAAAAATCCATTAGTAGTTAAAATAAAAAGCAATTACAATATAAAAAATTTTTTATTTTTATTTCATGTGCAATTAAATTTAAAAGTTAATCCGTCACTTTTTATTCTCCCGCCACTACAAATGTCAACGAAGCGAAGTCATCTGAAAATTGACATTTTATTGGCAGCACCTAAGTTTATGTTGGTGGCATTTCACGCTGAAAGTTCGCAATTATAGCTTAGACATATTAGAAACAAAGTTGGATTCATTTCTTTAAATTTTTATTTATATTATTTCGTAGATTACTTTAACTAAAATTTTCGACAAGAGATACATATATTTTTATATTTTTTGGTTATGTGTAATTTCGTTGTTTGCTCTACATACATATTTTATTTTTCTTTTTAATAAATTTGTTTCAAATATGTATGTATGTAAAAAAATATTTTTGTTTATGTTAATATTATTGTCATAAATTCTATTTTTAATAAACGTTTTTGTACTTTAAAGTTGATATTTTAATAATTAATACGAAAAGGAAACGAAAAAATATATGGACTTAATTACAATGAAGGCACTTTTAAATATTTTTTTAGTACATATAATACATAGTTAAAAATATTTTAAAATTATTAATTTCAGGTTATTAAATTTAAAATGCCAATTGGATGTGTAGTGTCAAAAACTTGAAACATCAAATTAGCATTCCATTTACCATCTATGCTCAACCTTTCGTTAAAACGAATAAATGCATTTGTACACGTTACTGAAAATGAATGAGCGGTATTGGAATATATATACATATGTATGCACATACATGCATGTATTCTTGCTCAGCGTAAAATTCTGCGTTTGTTTAAATATGTCTGTCCGATTGCACGATAACTCAAAAACGAATAAAGTAAATACAACTTTCACAAGCTACTTCTTTTGTACCAAGGACGGACCTTAATATTATTGGACCAATTTGGCCAACGGGTTCGGGTAGCTGCCTTACAACTCAAAGACATTCCCCTCTATTATGAACATCGGTATCGGCCGATATATTATCGGCAGTTCTAATCGGTTTTAGGTTTCTTCTGTATTATGAACCGATACCGATAAAAATATTTCAACCGATTAAAAGAAGTTTTTTCATATAAATCTTTGTTTTTGTAAATTGGAGAAAAAGTTTTTTTTCTAATGACATTTGTTTTCTTTCAAAAGTTATTTTCAAAAAATTTTAAAAATTATTTTGAATTTGGTTTTGATGTGCTAAAAAGTTGTTGTAAGCAAATTATTTTCTTTTAAATTTGTAAAATAAAAATATACATACATATATCGGGAAAATGTGTGCATTATATTTTGAAAGTGAAGAAACGGTACTAAGTGAAGAAACGCAAGCTATTCAAAGACGACATATAAGAGATCCAACTAATCCATTGGATTTAGACAACAAAATATATGTTTATGTACCTATTTTATTTTATTATTTATATAATATGTACACATTTTTTAGATTTATCCAGAATTTCAGATTATCATTCCTTGCCAGGCTTAAGTCCTCTTCCATTTTTTCTACTAACCGCGCAATTTGTTTTTTGTTGTTTACGATTTTACTCCTAAATAAAATATATGAATAACATTTTGAAAAAAAATAATTTAGAAAAAAAGCTTACATTTTAAAAAAGCAATTAATTACACCAGTTTCCTTGATAAAATGAAGATTTTACAAAAAAAAAAATCTGTCGTCTAAAAATTTGTACCCGCTTTTAAATCGGTGAAAACCCGACAATTTATCGTTTTCATAATACCAGCTAATACGTTTCCTATACAGGGAAAAAAAGCTTTCCCGACTCCGATAAAATTTACTGATAAACAATGTTGGTAACACAAACACAAAATTTTGCCGATAAATTATCGTTTATCGGCCGATACCGATATATGTACATAATAGAGGGGATTATTTTAAGTATTTAAAAAAATTAAGATATAAATATAAAATTTTCTACACTTGTGTTCAACTACATTTTACGTGTGCTCTAAAAATTACAATGAAATGACTGCATTGGTTCAGGAGCTGTCACACAACTCCAAAAGCCTATTAGAAAAACTTGAAAAATAATAAAGTTAGATTCAAGAGATTTGGCAGTTATGTTTTCAATTATAGGTCACATGTACCCTTGAAATTTTTTGAATGGCTTTAGAGGTTCGGATAGCTTCCATACATAATAAATCTTTTAAATATCCAGAAAAATAATAAGGTTAGATTCATGAGACTTGGCAGTCTTGTGTCCAATTATAGGTCAAAGATAACAGTGAACTTTTTGTGGACTGGTTTGACAGGTGCGAGTTATTGCCCTATAAACATTAAAGGTGATTCTAAATATTTCAAAAAAAATATTGCCAAAGTGCGCAGGTTATAATTTAGTCGGTGTTTCAAAATAATTTCATTAAAGAATAACTGAATTCCTTTTTGACAACATCAAAGTATGTTAAAATTCCTACAACTTTCCAAAGATTAGATAATAATTTTTGGTGAAAAAAAAAACGTTTACAAAAGAAAGTTTAAATATTTTTAATTACATAACTGAACTAAAATTTAATTCTGTCTTGAAGACACCTAGTGTTAGTATATTGAATTCTTAAAAATTAATTGTAATGAGTTTTGATATTAAATAAAATAATTTTATTTGTTTCAGTTTTTGTGGCTTTTTTTCTGCTTTATTTAATTTTAATTTAAATGTATAATATTTTTTTTTTACTTTTTTTTTGCTTTTATTGTTTTCAAAGTTTAATTTTAATAATTAATGATATTATAATATATGAAATAATTATTATTATTATTATTATTATTAATATATCACTGAGGTTCAGGAAGTGGTTTAAGCTCTTTTATTTGCTTAATTAGATACGCTTTTTCGTCATTAAATTGTTCGTCCTCCGATCGGTCTGTATGGAATTTCGTTAAAAAATCAACCAATTTTGCCTGATTTCGTAATAAAATATCCAATATTGGCTTTGGTTTATTGGGATTTGCAACGAAAACCTGTGATTTAAGAAAAAAAAATAAGAAAATAAATATTCATTACTAAATTGTATTTGAAATTAGCTTAAATAATATAAAAAAAAATGACATAAATTTATTAAGAAACCCGCCAAACCTATATGTAAAAGTTAAAAAAAATTTAAATAAAATTTTAATATGTTTGTAATTAAGTATTTTATTTATTATTGTTAGAAAATTATGTAATTAGTTTTTTTTTTTTCTAAAAATATGTTAAATATTCATGTTTAATGATAAAAAAAAATCAAGAATATAATAATTAATGATTAATTATAGCAAATATTTATAAATATTAAAATTAATTTAAATCGAGTAAAATTTAGTTTAGATTTTATAAACATAATAAACGTATTATTACTTAAAATTCGGTTTTTGAACATATAGAAAATATTGTATACGTATTAATTTAAAAATTTTAAAATAAATTGAAGTCATGATTAATTATTCATTTATTATTATTAACTGGGCCCTATTGCATCAACTACTTTTTACTTTTTTTTTAATGAATTAATTGCATCAAAGTTAAAAAATAAAAGAAAAAGTGCTTGATGTTATAGGGTGCTGGTGTGATACTAATTTAAATTAAAACGGAATTTTTACTCCCTATAATTGAAATTCGAGTTCAGTTAAAAAAAAAATTATAAAATGAATTTATACTTTCCCGAATCTGTAATTTCCTAAAAATTTTTTAAAGGAAGAAAAAATTTCTTTTAACTCGAAAAAGGCACTTTATTTATTCTAATAAGTATTCCGTGCACATCTTAATTTTTGATTTACATCAAATTCAAAATTGGAAGTGAGGGTTGCATTGGTTTATCATAAACTCTACACTAACTACGGGTCGAGCCGCCTTTGATTTTATGTTGAGATTTTTGAGATAATTTTCAATAGTTTGTGTATTATTAAAATATTATTTGGAAATCAACGGAATGCTTCTTTTTATATTATTTTACTGCTGTTGCAATTGCAATGTATTGCAAATATCTCAGTAATTTTAAAAACGACCTTTTTTATAACTTTATTTTACTTTAAGGTGTATATAAACTATGTATAATTGTAATTGTTATGTGACTAAAATATGTAATAAATTAATTTTAATAAATTAATTTATTACGTAATAGTTAATATAAATCAATTTAAACAATAATATGTTTAAATTGATTCAATAACAAACTGGAATATATATTTTATATAATAATATTTTTTGATTAACAATGCTGACGATTTCTTATGTAAATAAAACTAAACTAAATTTTTACTCAATTTATATAATATTAAAAAATTTCAGCAAATTTCAAATTTTTAATTTCAATTTCATTACTCATAAAAAAAATCACTTACTTTAAAAACATGGAAGGCTTCAAATTGTATATTTCTTGATTTTTCCTTAAGCATATTCATCATAAGCTTTAAATTATCTGGATTCGATATATATTTTGTCATAACCTAAAATTTATTTATAATAAATAAAATGTAAAATTATTTACAATTTATATTCCATTTAAACAACTTACAGTAAAATTATGTCTGTCTAATAATAATTCACCAAGTAATTTTAAACTTTGTCTCCTTGTAACATAATTTTCTGAGTTTAATAATCGCTGATAATGTGTAAAAACTTTATCATAATTTGCTTCAAGAAATTCAGCACATAATATTTTGTGACGTGTTAATAATTCCTAAAAAAAACAAAAGTTAATTACAAATATATAAGTATGTAAGTATTAAATTTCATAGAAGAAATAAATATGTATGTATATGTACCTTGAATGTTGAAAAAGCATCTGAAGCAATATCAAATGTTGATACTTCGACATATCGAAAGAAATTGAAAAATTCTTCTGAATGTAACATTATTTTAGCTAAAGCTTCATATCGTGCACATTCTCTTAACATTGTCCCACAATTCAATGCAATTTCTTGATGTTCATAGCCAGCCATTAATGTGAATAAAATCTCTGGTTTAGTGCATATATATTCAACAGTTGGAGATCTAGTACCAATCTGTCGTCGTAAAACGTTATTAAAAACTTGAGCCACATCTTTTTTCCCTTCAAAATCGATCCGATTTAAGTTCTTAAATATATAAATTAAAAATAAACAATCAATTAGAAAATAATACTTAAAATTAAAAAATCTAATTACTTAAATATATAATAAAAAATTACTTAAGGCAGCATATGTGTAAATGTATAGCAAATTAGAATTAAAAAGAAAGAAAACGAGAAAAGATTAAATCGGTCGTACCATCTCTGTGGTACCCGTATGAATATTTTACATTAGTTACAAACAGGCAACAAAAGGAGTCATGGCCTTCTTACTAATCTTATTCGTTTTAATTTTGAACATTTCGATTTGATTAAGTTTTCGAAGAACTTTTACTGTAAGAATTTATATTACTTTTATTTTACCCATTAGCCACTACTTAAGATTTTAATAAATAATTTTGCGAATTATATGACATTTAATAAAGCCGCTGCTTCGATCAAACCCAAATCTAAATAGGGATTACTCTTAGCAATTTGAAAGTAAAGTCTATGTTTTTGAATTACTGTTAGAAGAAATGAACAATTGGACGGATAGAAATAGTTTAACTAGAATCCGATACTGAACAAGAATATACATATATATTTTTAAGTTCACCTTTTAGACGTACATAGAGTGTACGTCTACTTTAGTGTTACAAACGGAGTGGTAAATTTGTATTAAAATAAATTTATAAAATTATAATTGTAAATTTCCAAATATCATTCGTTTGTGGTAATGCAATTTATGGAAATATTACGTTAAGACACAGTGCTCAAGAGAAAATATATTAGAATTATTTAAAAAAAATGTTTACCTGTATTAATAACAGTAATAAATTACTATTATATAATTCTTGTGATAGTTGTGCTACTACGTATTCTGTTTGAGGTTCAGAATCTGATGTACCATACAGCATATTTTTGATTAAAACCTGAAACAATATAAGAAAATATATTAAATTATGATGGATTCTCTTTTGTACAGAATACTTTTATTTCAATAAACTGCGCATGTTTAAAATTAAATTATAATATTTTATTGAAATTTTATTTTTGCAAATAACATTTTGAACTAATTGTTCTTTTTGTTGTCAAAACATGTGATATGTTCGTCTCGTATTTAACAAAAAGAGTACTTTATTTCTTTTCTTTAAAGAAGTTACAATATAGACAAAATTTTTAAATTAATACATTTATTTTACTGTTATCTCACTAGATCGAAGTATGCCTGGTAGTTTTTGAGGACAACATTAATAATATACTATGTAGATTTGCATTCGACTGCATTCCTTGCAAATAGGAAGAAATTCTTTATCATTGACTGGGCTCCAAAGTCGGTTTTATTGACAATTTTATAAATCTATTTACATTCTTCATTGTATTTCAGAAATTAGACATATAAAACGATTTTGATTAATATTAAAGTCCCATTCAACATTTTATCACCAAGAAAATATTTTTTCTTAATAAAAAATTTTGAAATTTAAATCTATCAAAGAAACTAGCAGGGGCCTATCAAAAATTGAAAATCACAACAAGGGGTCTACGAGCGAAAAAAGTTTTGGAACCTCTGTTTTACGTCAACCTTCTTTTTGACACAAAATCTGTGTTACCATCCAGATTCTGGTACGTTATATATGAATTTTTATATTCTCGACAGTGAAAGATAAATTAATTGATATACTTTTGACATAAAAAAATATTTTTTTTGTAGTCTTGCACCAAAACTACAGAGGAATAACGTGTTATACTCTTCGATTAAAAAAAATAAAAAGAAAATTGAAAAAAAAAATCAGTTAGCTTTCTTTTTTTTTGACTAAAAATTTGAAAATTTTTCATTAATTACAGTAATTGTTCAATTGTACTTTTTACTTTTTCATTACTTATGAAATTAAAATTCATAAAATAATGTACAGAAATGAATATTTTGTCACGCTCAGTTAGCAATTTATATTTTAATTGAATTGCATATTTCAATGTAAAAGTGAGCCAATAAAAATATTTTGTTCGTGTTTCACATAATAAAATTTATGACAATATTTTAAGGTGGTTCAGTTAAAATAGAATATACGACTCTATACAGACGGTCAAGCACTACCACGAAATATTTTGTTTGTTGAGTAATGTCAAACATAAATACTGACGTGTTTGTAACAGTTCAAATTGTTAAAGAAAGCATCAACATAGAGTATTTTTCAATGGGTGGGGTATGCTATCCTTTTAGTAGGTCCAATCCATTTATAGGGGAAGGTAATTGAGTTTCCCATTTAAAAATTACTTTTTGCACTAAATTTGAAAAAACAAAGGAGATATCAAGAACAAGAAATTTATACTTTCCTACTTAGCGTTCTGTTTTCATTGCCTTTCATAAGATATTGTAAAACATGACAATTTGTTAAGGTTTTATTATCTTCTATTATAAATACGGGGCTAATGCAAATGATCTTTAGATGCGCATTTCCGTTGTCACAGATTTTAATTTTCGCATTAAAAATCTATTATTTAAATGTAGGTTAAAGGTGTTTATCTGAGTTCTAGTAGAAACCTATTAGAAAAGAAGTTGAAATTAATATATCTATCAATGTAAACAAAATTCTTGAAAATTTAATAGCCCATAGTACCAAAATTATTTGAAATGCATTTTTTTTTTCTGTAATACTGATGTCGAAGTAGTAAAAGCAATTTCAGAACTTACATTTTTTCCGCAACTACTTATAATTAAATATACATACATATGTACATACATACACATACTTCTAGTTAACTGTAATAAATAATAATTTATTGGATTTATATTTGTATTTTTCAAAATTTAATTTTATCAGACACGAGGTTTTGTTTTTAATTTAATTTTTATGTCTAAATTAATTAAATCGAAAATTTCCATCAAATAATTTTAGCATTTAAAATTTAGGCATTCAAGCAAATATCAATGGCATCATAGACAACTAAATGTTTCTTAGTCAATGCTTTCAGATTAAAAGTGTTTATCAATAAAACTTTGTGTATGTATGTATAAATATTTATAAATATAATACATGTAAGTTTCCCAAAAAAGAAAACTTTTCATCAGTTTTCAATAAAATGAATGAAAAGCGAATTATTGGACTATAACGATATTAATAATAATAAGATTAATAAAAACGCGAAATAGTCACACTACGTAAAATAATTGTAAAAAAAAAAACAAATAATTATGCTACTTTTAAATTTCAATATTAGCTAAGTACTTGTCCAAATCGGATTTTAATCATTTATATGTAAACATCTTTGTATATTTTTCTCCTGAATTTCGCTACTAGGGTTAATAGCACACACATCGTTATTCACCTTTTTTAAGAATGACACTAATTTTCAATTTAACAAATGCACTATAGTTTATGACGGTCAGCACATTTCCAACAATATTGAAAAAATGCCGTCGTCAAATAAATGGGTTGCCTTTCAATAATGTAAAACTAAAAATAATAAATCCTATTTGTTGAAATAGTTGCATAAATAAGTATACTTTAGCTTAAAAAGCCGGCAACTGTTATGTTCTTGTTTTTATGCGAAAATTCGCATAAAAATTGGAGAATAGAATTTGAGTGTCGAAGATATATGGAGCTAAAGTTGACATTTTTTAAACTTTGAGATGAAATAAATCGGAACTGGAGAGAGTAACAATGAAATTTCATTCGAGTAAAAAAAAAATTGAACAAATTACTAATATATTTATTGTAGGTATGACCTTCGTATATAATTTTTACCGATCGTATTTTGTATACAATGGGTAGGTTATGTGATAGCAACAAATTTTGCATATCGAGTTTTCTGTGGGAACGCATTTCTCCATGATAGCAAAGTGTAAATAAACTATTTTTAGCAACCTGTCGGTCTGTGTGTGCACGCGTGTATCTCAAGTTCGGCTGAACCGATTTTGATGAAATTTTATATGTAAGTTTATTTCGACTATGGCACGGGTTGATCTTTTGGGATACACCAGGCCTCGGGAACTGCATTACTTATGAAGAAAATATTAAACAGATTTACTTGAAATCTCCTGTATAAGCTTCGCTCGACCGTCCGCGAAAACTCCTAACTTTTCAGTTCAAGAAATCAGGCGTAAGCAATTGCACGTTTACCTCGGGCCGAACACAAATTTTTGCGTATATATCATCGAAATTTAATATTTAAATTCTTCGTATTAAAGCGATGAATCTATAGATTTTTTGGAAAGATCAGGGCTCGAAAACTGATCTGGGGGCCGATTTTACTTTTTTTTACCATATCTACGGATCGAATTGATGGAATTTCTAGAAACTTGATATTTTAATTCTGGTTGTCACCGAAACTAATTGACGAGCATTTCAGGGAATTCGGGTAGCACAAAGCGAAACTCTACTAAGAGCAAAATTTACATTTTTCTAGGTATGTTAACTATAAGCTTACTAGTGCCCTAAAAATTGGAAAAAAGTATTTAACAGGCATTTCTTTAATATTCTGTAACACTTTCACTTAACTAGACAATACACATTGCGGTCGGTTATGAGCTGACCACATCAGATTGTTTTTGAAAACAATAACTCTAATGATTAAGTCATGTCTGATAATCTAGGAGATCTAGTTGAAATATCACAAGAAATTACCCTTCTTTTAAATTAATTCATGTTTAATATAAGAATTAGAGATATGGATCTTTTCAAAAACGCTTTTTGGAACCGAGACAAGAGTTCAGCGACAAGAGTTTGTGTAAATTATATGTGTTTGTTAACTTTGCAATATAGTTAATTATGTGTTATTGATTAATCATATAATTATAAATATGCGTTACACATAAAGCGTCCTCTTGCTTACAAACTTAGTGTGACAACATAAAATTCATTGATATTTTTATACAACAGACTGTAGATATTTATGTAAACATAATCAATTATGTGTTCATATATATACATGTGCATGCACTTATACATTTGCAACCTGCATACACATTTATTTATTTTTTGATTGTATTTTTTTTTAACGTGGATGAATGCTGATGCATTTTAATTTACTAAATTTCTTTCTTTCTTTTTATAAACTTCTTAAGCGCCAACATTCTGAATCAAGTATTTTTAGACTTTATTTTAAATATGTTAGCGCAAAGATTGGCGCGACATTATTCAACCTTGATGATGTGTACGATGAGAAATTGTGAACGAGTCTTGCATTACATAGCAATTTTCATATAAGTATGTATTCAAAAATGTAATTTCGTATTTGTGCGAAACTATTTATAAATGAGCAAAGTACTTCTTAATTATTTTTACAATGTTGTATTTTGTTCGCAATTGAAGTCAACCATTCTTTTTTATTTTTTAATCAGATATTATTTTAATTTTTATATTTAATTAAATTTTCATGGAATATTTCTTGACTTTCAAATCTCATTATGCGACATTTGTTGACTCACTCAATTCTGTTTTATTAATAAGTTATTCTAATTATAGCTTATACAATTTTGCAGTCTAATATTCTAATCAATTTTTAGCTAAATTATTTTATAACAACTTAGCAAAACAACAATATTTAAAAGTGATGCAAATATCGTTTAAATGAGCGTACACATAGTATAGCATTTAAATTTTTTTGATCGAAAGGTCACGGACTATTTAAGAGAAATAAGAATATTTTAAAATTTATACTCATTGTCATATGAATCTTACGTATACATATTATATATAAGCCTAAATTACGACGGTTTTCATCGCATTACAATTTTAATTTTGCCCGTATACTGATACCCGCTTAGCATTCAGTTCCAAGAATCGCAAAATCGCAGTATATAACGTATTTCTAAAGTAGAAAATCTATATAATATTTCAAACGCACATAAGACCATTGCACGTACTTGCGGTTATTCAAATCTGTCACTGCACAAATTTTATTTAACATGCTCTAAGTTATACATACA